CCCCCATTCCACCACCACACACTAAAAAATAAAATAATACCCGAGACACAAAAGCTATACATGTAGCAACAACAGAGAATCACAACAAAAGGAAATACAAAAACCAACTAGAAAAATACTACTACTTAAACAATGAAGCTTACAAATTGAAAACCCGATCCATTAAGCCTAGCTCTTTAAGGATGTAGCGGACAAATAATCTCCGATTAGCAGAGGACAAACGGCAATATTGCGACACATTTCGAACCAGCACACATAAATCTTAAAACACTAATGTGCAGGTGGTTGGTGGGTGCTCTGGTGTGGTTTGCTCCTTCTTTCCTACCAAACGTCATTCTGATCTCTCCTACTTCATTTTTGTATTTGTTACTTTCTTGTAACGCCTCTAACCTTCAGCACTTGTATGACCTTATGGTGTTGCAAGTGCCGTAAATCGCTTACTAAAACTAAAAACACTAATTTGAATTCTCTGTAGTTTGCATGGTGTTGCCTACCTTTAACTTTAAAAGTTTCAGATAAAAAAAACAAACAAAACAGAATTGAAACTTTTGTATAAATGCAATGTTACCCTTAAAAATACGTAGTGTTTTCAAGCCTATAAATGCGCATCTTCAATGAGTTAAAACCTCCTATCAGGTCAAGCCAATCTCGCTATGGGCAAATGCCTTGAGCATCACAAAGTCTTTAACTCTCTGCACTCGAAGAGTGTGTGGTTGGCCGGTGTTCTGGTGTGGTTTGCTCTTTCTTTCCTATCAAACATCTATAATCCTGATCTCTCCTATTCCTTTTTTCTGTTTGTTACTCTCTTGTAACACCCCTGATCTTTGGCACTTATATGGCCTTATTGTGTTGCAAGTGCTGTAAAACTCTTATAAAAATATTTAAAAACACTCAAAACCTCTGATATGGTTCTTGCCTCTTTCTCAACAGTGAATAAACCTAGATTGTTAAAATTGCATGCAGTGGGTCAATAATGAAGAAATGAGGACTTTCTTGTTTGACTTGAACTTGAAGTGAATTGGTGTCGGACAAGAGTTGAAACGCAAGAGCCACACAAGGACACAAAGACACTCTCTCTCTCTCTCTCTCTCTCTCACACACACACACACAC